TTCTCTAATTAATTTACAAAAATAATATTTTTATTTTACCTTACTGTCTGCTTCAATCATTCCAATAAATCTCTCATATTCCTCATTTTTATCAAAAACTATCCCTTTTTTAAATATTTCCATAATATTTTTTTCTTTCAAAACCTTTCCATTGCCTCCATTTTCAATAATATTCTCAATATTTCCTTCAACTTTACGAGATGACCCTTTTAAGTCAAACTTTAAATCCAATTTTGGTATTCCCTTTGGAAACAGTCCATTTTGGATTGTGAAAATAATTGGTTCTTTTAATGTATCGTTCTCAGTAATTTCCTTAATTAAAAGATTTTTAAATTTAAATTTTGATTATAATTCTATCAATTCTTAAAACTACATATTTTTTAAATTTAGTATATCCTAAAGAAGTTGCGCGGGACATGTAAAATGTTAAAATGACAATTCTCGAGTCGTGGGATATACTAAAGGGAAAATGAATATTGGAAAGGTGTGGGTTAAGTGATAGAAATTGAAGCAAAATTTGAAGATAAATTGTTAGATTGTTGTAGACCCTATAAATATTATGTTTTCTCCAAAGTTTTCATTTTAATTCATGAAAACCACCAAAACATGAAAATAATAATTATGGAGTCCTGAGGAATTTAAGCGGATCTTGCTTCAGTGAGCTTTAAAAAATCCGCTCTTTTATATAAATAATTAAGAAAAAAATTGGGGTGGGGGTTGAAAAATAATTTAGAAAATAATTTTTTAATTATCGAATTTTATATATTTAATACCTGAATAATAAAACTTAATGAATATTTTGGCAATAAACTTTCATTTTTATCCTCTTTATCCATTTTACTAAAATAGTCAACAAAAGTTCCTTTAAATTTACTTTCCTTTACATAAATATCCCGCCAACTAAAAGGATATATTAACTGTTTCTTCTCATTTTCATCAAAAAAGAAATGTTTTTCCGCGAAAGGTTCAAGAAAGTGACGCCCTATTTTCAATAACGAAAGAGGAATTTTTGAGTTTTTTGACCATTCAGCAAACCATTTTGGCTCTTTTTGTATTGTTTTTAACAAAAATTGTTCATTCCAAGATGTTAAAAAATCACATCCTCCTTTTGTATTGCTGTCAAAATTAGCAAAAGGAAATAATGTTAATGACAATAACATTTCTAAAGAATTTAGTTCAAAGATTTCTTGAAGTTTTTTAAATTCTTTTGGGAACAAAATTGTGAATTTAAATTTATTTTGAGGGGCTTTACTTGTTTTATCATCAATTTTCTCTTCAAAAATTAATTCTTGAATATCAATTTGTTTGTTATAAAGATTTTTTTTCGATTTTATTTTCTGATTATCATCCTCCAAAATAAAAGAAACACCCCTTTCATTCCAAATTTCATTTTCTTCTCCATTTTTTAAATCATGACAAAAATATTTTCGAAGGGCAAAACGAATTTTTTCTGCCAAATTAAATGATTCTGGAAAATTTATTTCCGTAATTCCGTGTTTCTCTAAATATTCCTTCACATTTTTACCAAATTCTTCATAATTTCCCAAAAATTCTAACATTTTATCGTCACACAAAGCCTCTGACAATCCTTGAATATTTTTTAAATTTTCCACCATTTTTTTAATTTTCCCTTCTAGATTCGTTTTAATTCCTTCCATTTCTTTTTTATCAAATTTTTTTTCAGTTTCTCCCCACATTTTAACTAAATACATTTCAACTTCCATTTCTATTAGTTCTGCTGAAGTTTTAATTGATTTGTTCTCTAAAAATAATATAGGTAATTTATATTATAAACATCCTCCTCTGTTTATGGCTCCTTTATCAGTTGGGACAGAGAAAAGATGGATTTTCTAATCCAATATACATATTTCTTTAAAAAGTGAAATGTTGCTTAATATTAGGGTTCAGCGGTATCGGAATCCCGACCGGTATCGGGCGGTATTATACCGGTCTCTTTGAATACCGATACCGATTTTACTGATACCGATACCGAGGCCAGTATAGGTATCGGTATCATCAATCCGAAATACCGATACCGTTTTTTTCTCGGAATACCGGTACCGCTGAACCCTACTTAATATTAAAAGTAAATCTCTTTTTCAGACCCCCAAAATTTTAAATCTAAGTTTTTTATATTTTTTGGAATAAAACAGGATGATGTAAAATAATACTTACGAATGTCATTTAAACAAAAATAATTAGGCGAGAAATTTAAAAGAAATAAAAGATGAATTAATAAAAACATCTAAAAATGTAAAATTAAATTAAAAAATAATAAATTAATTAAATGTTTAATTAAAGAGAAGCTAGCCAGTATTTAAAATAAGGCCACAACTCCAGTTTAACGCTCGCCTTGTTAATGGCTATAATTTTTTTATCTAAAGTCGCCTGTATAAAAAAATTTGGCATATGATTTTATAATTAAAGGTGGAGGAATTTTTATCACATGCTACAAAAATCGCCAGCCATAAAATTGATTTTTATATTAAATAATTTTAAAAATTAATTAATTATAATTAATTAATTTTTAAAATTAATTTATATAAAAATTTAAAAAGTTGGGAATTGTCGTTAATTAAGGAATAAGTAATATTTAAACTTTCTTGAAAGGGTTCTATACTAGAAACGGAAAAAAAATTGTAAAAGGTGTCCTAATAAATACGGAAACTTTCTACTAAACAATCTTGGTAGAAAGTTTTTGTTATAATGCCTGCATAATTTCGTTTTCAAAGTTTTCATTTCAATTCCAATTATTTGCCACCAAAATATGAAAATATTATCTACAGTAGCTTATATTATTAATCTAAGTAATTATCTAAATAAAAAAATCTAAAATAAAAAAAAAAAACAAATAATTTCGAAATCTCCGGAAATTCTTTAAAAAGTTTCCGATTAGCAAACAATCTTGGTTAGATAATAATTAAATATTAAATTAAAATATTTTTTAATTGGAATAATTTAGTTGAGATTGGGATGGCAATATACACATACACAGAGATATGGCACTGTTTAATACAAGAATTGTTTATGACATATTTATGACTCTATCAGCTGGAATAAATACGATCGTGTAAACATAATTGGCTAATTAATACTTACGAATGTTATTTAAACAAAAATAATTAGGGGAGAAATTAAAAAGAAATAAAAGTTTAATTAACAAAAACATTTAAATTAAATTAAAAATAAATTAATATAAAAATTAAATTAAAAAATTAATAAATGAATTAATTGTTTAATTAAAGAGAGGATTTATAATAGTGACAAATCCTCTCTCTCTCTACCCCTCCAATTTAACGCTAGCCTAGTTAAATCGCTGCTTTGCGTCTAACGACAAAAAGGCAGAGGAAATCGCGCGAGGCATTTCTCTCCACTTTCCACTCTATTTTTTCTTCCACAAGACACGCGTGCTTGTTAATTAACAAAGGATTTTATAATTGAAAGATGGAGGGATTTTAGAAGGGCATTTACATATACACTCTCCATCTGTCGCTTTCCAGGCAGGTGGCAAAGCCATTGAAATCAATGCTTCAAAATTGATTTTTATAAATTAATTTAAAAGAAAGTTAAAGAATTGGGAATTCTTTGTTAAGGAAAAAATCGCTTTTTCAGAATTTTGTTAAGAAGAAAAATAACTAGGACTTGGAACTAGGGCTTCAACAACAAAGCATAAATGGTAAAACACTCCGATTTTTCAAAATTTTAACCGGAAAATAATAATTAAGAAAAAATTTTTCTTAATTTTTGAAAAATATTTTTCGCAAATTGAAATTTTTGAAAAATAAAAGTTATACAAAAATTAGTAAAAATTTTTGATAAAAAAAATCAAATTTTTACGAAAAATAATCAAAATAGGTGACAGAAAACATAAAAACATCTTAAATAGTTTTCAACTTATTTTAGGTTACAAAACTCCAAAATAGGTTTAAATAGGTGAAAAAAAGTCCGCGTAGATAAAAGATTTTCAAAAAAAATAACAACGGATTTTAGCTCAATTCATCATAACTCGAGCCCTAATTATAACTATTGCCCGACTTTTGAAGCAATTTATATTAAATTGGGAATAAATACACGAGATTTTAATAAAAAAAACAAGCTAAATATGTATTAACTATCCATAAGATATGTAGTACAAATGTTTAGAAAAATGTGGTAATGAAGTGAGGTTATGACTTAAAACTAAAAACATAGTTGTGCCTTTCGAAATCTCCGGAAATTCTTTAAAAACAACAAAAAAAAATGTTTAATTTAATTAAGAAATTAAAATTGTCTTTATCAAAATAATTTAAAATATTTTTTAAAAATTAAAAATAATAATAGATATTTGTATATAAATATAGCAGGGTAGGATTAAAAAAGGAAAGGAAGTTGGTGGATGATAAGCAAAATTGCTATAGAATTTTTTAGTTTACAAAATAATATTACGGACAAAATAGTAAATAAATATCTTACATCCTTTTAGTAAAAATAAAATATTTTTAGTTAATTGGAACAATTTAGATGAGATTGGGATGGTATTTAATACATATGTACATACACAAATATAACAAACAAAAAATAAATGAAGAAAAATTTCCTTTGTTTTAATGTTTTTTCTCGTTTTTCTATAAATTTTGAGCTTAATCTTTTTCTTTTTACTTCACATACCTCATTTAATATACAACTCTTCATTCTCTTTTTTGAAAATTTTGGTAGTAATGAAATTTATAAAACGATTACTATAACTTTCTGGATCGGTAATTGAGGCTGTTGCCTTTAAAAAAAATATATTTATATTTTTTGCTGCTCGACACTCCAGACTTATTCCCCAACCGAAAAAACTTTTTTCCCCAGAGACTATATGGAAGGGGATATAAAAATGTTCATTAACCTTGAACAAACATGTTCGATCACAGTGTTTTTTGTCTTAGTTAGTCTCACAAACTAATACTGTTTTATGTTTACGAGTAATTTGTTTTACTCGTTTTTATATATTAATTTTATTAAGGGGAAGGAAATGCTTAATTTAAAATAAATATATTATTATTACAAAAACTTACATATTCTATATCTTTTAAAATATTTTTTTCCTAAAATTAAAAAAAAATTTTTAGTATTTATTCTTATACAGTCAAACCTCACCCACTACTTTTCCTAATTTCCAACACTCAATTTCTCAATTAAAAATACTTTTGTTGGGGGATCTATCTAAGCAATCCCTCCATTTAACAATAAATTATCTCTTATGATTTCCCAAGGGTTTATATCTTATAAAGAGAGGTTTAACTCAATAATTTAAAAATAACCCCTTTAATTTTTGACATTAATCCTTTAATTCTTGCTTCTATTTGTCTTTTAGGTATAAATGATTGTAATATATCAATTATTCCAACAAATAGACGTAATTCTTTTCGTTTATTTTTTTCATCAGAATTATTTTGAATATTCCCTTTTTTCTCCAAAATTTTCTCCTCTCCAAAATCCTCTCCAAAATTAATTTTATTATAAGTCTCCAAAATTTTATTTAAATTACTACAATCATCACAAAAAGCTTTAATTCCTCTAAAAAAATTTTAATATTAAATTTGTTTAATTAATTTACCCAATATTTTCATTTTCTTCATTTTGGTCATCAACAATATGAATTCCCAACAAAAGACTGTAGTCGATTATATTGCTTTTCTCGAGAAACTTTATTTAAAAAAATTTAAACTTTATTTTAATTTTAAATAATTACGAATATAAAATTAAATTTTAATTTACTTTTTTTCTAATCCAAAATAAGGAAAGATCCTTAAACCTTCCATTTGAATATAGTAATATAATTTTTTTATCATAAGGGAGTTAACTCTATTTAGAGTTTAGACAAAAATATTCTGACTCATTTATTTTACCATCAATGCTCTAATGATTCCGAAGATCGAGCGGTTCCATTATTTTATGTTTAAAGAACCGGCCCCTCAACCCTGATTTTGGGAATCAAGAAACTTGTAATTTTTATTTTTTAAAAGATTTTCTAATATAAAAAATATAAAGCTTAAAAGCCAACCTTACTATCCTCTTCAATCATTTGTCTAAAATTTTCAAAATCATTTTCGTTTAATTTTATACCATTAGGGAAAAACCCTCCATTTTCCCCTCCATTTTCATTAACAAAATTTAATTCTGTCCAATTTGGACTTTTCCCATTTTTTAAAAGTTTTTCTAAGCCTTCTGCAGTTGGTAATATTCTTTTAGATCCCTTTAAGTCAAAAATTAAATGAATTTTTGGCGTTCCTTCAGGGAAGAGACCATTTTGAATTGAGAAAATTTCACTTTTTGATTGCCCATTTAATGGCTGAAATTTTAAAATTAAAAAAATATTTTTTAGAAAAAAAACCAACAGTAAAACTAAAAAGAAGGAAGAATTTTGGTAAAAGAGTTTCTCTTTCATTTTTAAAAAATTTTTTTGTTGAATAAAGAGAACTTATCAAATCAAAATATTCTAAAAATCCTCCTCTAAATTTTCTTTCATTTTCATTAACATATAAAGACGGGGTTTTCTGATAATTTAACAAATGTTTATTTTCTTCTTCAAAACTTTTTTCAAAATTTTTATTTTCTTCATCAAAAAAGAAAAAATCCTTTTCAACTTCAGGTTCTAATTTATTTCCAATAAATTTTACAAAATCCATCAAATCAAATTTTTTAAATTTTGAATTCCATTTTGGTTCAGACATGACACTTTTTAAAAAATATTTTTTATCCCAAGAAGTAAAAAAGCTAGCCCCACTTTTTGCAGGATTATCAAAACCTTCTAATCGAGCAAATGTTAAAGATATAATTAAATCTTTAATATCTACTCCAAAAAACTTCCAAAGTTCTCTAAATTTTTCTGGAAAGAAAATCGTTAATTTGAAATCGTCTTTATAGTCATGTGGATATTTTGTTTGAATTCTGAATTTTTAAATTTAATAAAATTAAAATAAAATTTTTGAAAAAAGGGGAATACAGGACAGAGAACTTGAGATAATTTCAGAATTATTCACAAGCTTCAACTAGTATAGTAACCTTACACTTTCCTATAAGAGAATGTACACCCGCATAATTAATTATGTTGCACCTAAACATCTGTGTACCACAAATAGCAAAATTAATTTTTAAAATATTAAAATCGGTTTATATTTATTTAGCTATGTCTGGGGGCCTTTTAAATACATAATACATACATACACTTCAATTTAAAAATTTAAAAAGAAACCTTTTAAATATTCTTTCGTGCTTGTTTTTTATTTTTTTCATTTCTTCACAATTTTCAGCTTTATTATCACAATTTTCTTCATTTTCCCATTTAGTTGTTCTGTTAAAATTTATGTCACATAAATATTTTCTAAGTGAGAAACGAATGGCACTTGATCTTTCAAATTTATTTTTCAATTTTTCTTCATCAATTAATTTAATATTTCCAACTTCATTGTTGGTATTACTTTTACCTATCGGTTCAATAACGTTAATTGAATTTCTTGTACAAGCTTTTTAAAAAATAATTTTATTTTTATTTATTTATTTATTGTTAAGAAGAAGAAGGAAGGAGACTATCCTTTTCAAAATAAGAATAAGTGAAGTTAGAAAAAACCAGCCAAGCTCTCTTACATATTAGTTAAAAATCTAATCTTTAGAAAAAAAATCTAATCTTACTCGAATATTTGGATTATATTGGGACCTGAAGAATCAGAGAGAATCACCGTTTTTATCCTTTTCTTCTCCACAAATTTTTTGGAGGTTACCTCTCTTAAAATTGGGAGTTACCTCTTACCTCCTATAGAGGTAAGAAAAAAATAATTACCGTAAATGTCTTTAATAGAGGAAGCATAGCCTTTAATAGAGGCAACCCCACGAGAGGACCAGAAATAGACATGTGCTTCTATTAGAGCTTTACGGTATGTATTTTTAGCTATTTAATTTTTAAAAATTAATTTAAATAAAAACCGGATAACAAAAATCCTCCTCTTCTTCTTTCACATTTTGGAGAATTAATAATTAAATTAATTTCCCCTTCTTTTCCAATAATTTGTTTTCTCAATTCTTTGTAATAATTAATTTCTAATTTTGTCATCATATCCTCATAATTTCCCAAAAAATTAATCATTTCTTTATCACACAAATTTTTTACCAAAAATTCTTTTGAAAATTTTTCAAAAATATTTTTTATTTTATTTTCCAATTTTTCTTTTAATTTTTTAATATTTTTTTCTAATTTTACAAAATATTTTTGCTTCTCTTTTTCATCAAAAACTTCTGGAAATGCCTGATCTCTTTCCCATTTTTCAATTATTCTTCTCCACAATTCTATATTTTTCAAATCTTTTTGTAAATTTCTGTTTAATACTTCCTCTTAAATTTAAAAAATTTATTGAGAGTTACATACTAACATTGTATATTTTTTTGCGAGTTGAGCAAAAAAAATCTGTTCAAGTTTGGACTTGAGTCGTTCAAGAAATCTTCGTTTTTCGGATTGAATGGGACTTCTTATTGGAGTAAAGGCTTAAGATTTTTAATACTAATAATCTACCTGCACGCCTCTAAAATCTTGGAAATCTTGTAAGCGTTTATTCGGGATTTAAAGATGGCATATACCTATGTACTATTAATGGGATATGCTCCAAGTCTATAGCTACCCCAGACCAGGGGGGATAACACAATGGGCCGACCCCTGACCCAGACTACCACAGACTTCTACATTATCAAAACTTGTAATACTAAATAGGATATACTCCCCAAATAAATAACCTAACTTACCATTATGTTTTTCAATGCTGATTTTTAAATTATTTATTTTTTCAGAATATATTAAGTTTGGAAAAAGAATTAAATAAACAATTGAAATTACTGTTAAAATTTCCATCGGTAAAAATTAATGTTACCACATGTTTGGTTGTAAATGGCAAAGCTGTTTTTAAAATTTTGATTTTCAATGGGTTTTCTTTCGATTTACGAGTTTAGAAGATTTTTCTCTTTCTAAACAGCTCTGGTAAATAAAGATGGGTTTGGAATTGAATTGAACAAATCGGAATTCTGTTTTACCTCTGGCTAACTGGTAGCAGTTAAAATTATTTGACAGTGGCTATTTTAATTTTTTCTTCTTTAATTCCTCGAGGGAAGGAAAAAAAAATTTAATAAATTTAATTTATATAAAATTGAAAGAATAATGGATGTAGCGTATAATTTTTAAAAAAAGGTTTTAAATGTCTGACTTGTGATGCCTGCCTTTTGAAAATTTTAATTTTAAGTCAGAAGACAATGATTGCACTTTATTTGCCCTTTCTTTTAAATTTTATTTCTTTGTTTGACTTGTGATGGAAATTTAAAAAAAAGTGGGAGTTTTATTTTTTAAATTCTCTTGAATTTTAAAATTGAAATTTAATTTTTGATGTCTTCATTGCTACATAAATTCTCACAACTTGAAATATTCAATTAAAAGTTGAATAATTTTACAAAAGGGAAGAAAAAAGTTTCTAGTTTTGAGTATATGACAGGCTAATTATTATACAAAAATTAAAAAAAACTTTCTAATTAAATAAAAACAATAAATTTTTTAAATTTATTTGAGCAAAATACATTTAAAAATAAAAAACAAACTCAAAATACATCCCCCCTTCTCCCCTATTCCAATCCCCCATTTACTCTCCACATGTATCCCCCCTCCTCAAGTTGTGTTTTGTATTATGATTATGAGGGGAAAAATAAAAATAAAAATAAAATCAATTTAATTATTAAATTTTGCAATAAATTTTAAAAAAATAAAAAAAAAAGAGTAAAAACACAAAAATGTTTTTAGTTGGAGAATCCTTACTGAATTTATTATGGAAGAAGAATGAAAATATAAACTTTCATTAGAGCGGATAAGAATGTCGCCATCATTGCGCAACTTGTCAAAGACGGATTTTCTCATGCACTTTAGTTTAGCTGTCAGATGTTTTTTTCTTTTTCTTTTGAAAATTTTAGAATTTAGAAATCAACTTTTGAATGACACTAGATTTTTTTATTTTTTAACTGAAAATTGACCAAAGAAATTATGTAAAATTAAAAAATATAAAACTAACCAAATTTTAAATCTGACATTTTATGTAACAACAACTCCCTCCTCCCCTTCCCCCCCCCCCTCCACTCAATCACCTTATTTCCATTTTTCGACTCTCCTTTCTTCTACTTATTTATTTGTAAAAGCACCCCACATTTATTGTTTGTTTGATTAAAACAAATAAATTTAAAAATAGAGAAAAAAAAGAGAAAAAATTTTTGTGGATAGCTTTAAAAATTGAAGAGGGTTAAAAAAGGTTTGGAGGAAAAATTTTGGGAAAATCAATGTGACTCTCGTAATTCAAACAAAAAAATCAACTCATATACCCCTTAAAATTATTGAAAAAGAGAGAACAGTTATGTTGAGAGTGAAGAGGTTTGAGTGGAATACAAAAATAAAAATAAATTTTTTAGGAAATATTCCACACATGAAATTATTTTTTTAAATGAAAATTCTTTTTGAATTATTTAAATATTTTTATTTTTTAAATAAATAAAATTTTTATAAAATATATTTTATCTGATTCATTAACATAAACTAAATAAATTTAATTCTCATTTAATTAATTAAATAAAAAATTATTTTATTAAATTATGAAAAATTAAAAATGTCAAATGAATTAATTAATTTAATTTATTTTAATATTTTTATTATTTTAATATTTACAAATTTGGTAAATTAAAAATTAAAATTTAATTTTTGTTTATTATTTTTAGACTTTCCAAAATGAAAAAGAATTGACACAGAAATTGTTTGAAATGCTTGACACAAATTTAGATGGCCTTTTATCTTTTAATGAATTTATTTTTGAGGGAAATTTAGAGAAAATTGAACCAATTGAAAGGCTTGAATTTATTAAAAAGGTGAAATTTAAAAATTATTTTTATAAAAAGTTAATTTAACGTTAGGTTCAAAACTTGTATTTTAGCTTTATTTTTTCTATTGCAAAATTTGATTTAAAAGGGAACAATAAGAGGTTATTGTGTAAACAAATTTTTATACCGTCGATTAGAGCAAGGCGATTTTCTTAAGAAATTTTTGGTCCTTTTTTCCCTGTTACGGAAACTTAGAAGTAACTCAAATAGATTAGCCGACTTTTGCGGCCCATACACTTGCGGCTTAGACACATCACCCTCAAATACACTTACCACACCTCACTGCCCGGCTGTCCTCACTCAAACTGGATGACCATCATCATTAAAATACCCTAAATTCCAAATTATTTCCCTTTATTTTATTTCCTATTATTTTTTAAGCTTTTTAATGAATCAGACTTTGATACTAATGGAGAATTAAACAGTCAAGAATTAACAGAATTCTTTATTATTTTACAAAAACAATGGGTAGAACATGGAGGGACTGAAAATATTGATTATTCTATTTTACAAAATATAAATAAATATTTGGTATTTTTTAAAGTTCTTTTTATCAATTTTATCAAAAAATTATCTTTTTTTAGACTAAATATATTCATTCTATCGAAGAAAATAATTTTTCAAATAAAGAATTATCTAATAAATATACAGTTGATTTAATTGAAGAACTTGAAGGAATTTAAATATATTTTTATATTTAATTATTTTAATTTTGATCTCACAATTGTTTTTCTTAAATTATTTAAATTTTTTTTAAATTAATAATTCTAATAGCTAATTAGTAATTTTGCTTTCTTCAAATCTAATGAAAATAAAATATAAAATAAATACATATTCGTTAAATATTTGACTCATGTTCACATTATGCTTCCTAAAATACCTAATTTAAGTATCCCATTAGAAAAGTCAATTAAAGCTATCGCGTAACAAGTACCACTAAACATAGTATAACGAGTCTAATAGTACTAACAATGTCGCATTTCAAACTTTAGGAACTCTTGGTTTTGATATTGCTGTGCTGTAAATGTATTAATAACAGAAAACGCATCCAAACGTGTGCTTTAGCTTTTTCTGTCAAATACATATATATCTTTTGCGTCAAAACGGGTCGCGCCCTAGTAGACCGAGTTATTGAAAATTTTCAAAGCTACGATATTGCATTATTAAAGTTTAATTCTACAACGATTTCTTTTGTTTAATTTACAGTAAGATTTTTTGTACATTAGAGTCTCAAAAAAATTCCAGAGATAAAGGATGATTGATTTGGTTTAACTTTATTAATTTTTGGGATTTACGTGTTAATCATGTAATGCTTGATTATGTAAAGTAAGAAGGGATAAACATATTCTTCTTCTTTTTAAATTTCCACAAAGCTATTTTTATAACTGACATTTTTAATAATTATTATGATGTCATTAACTTTTTACTTCTAATTTAGATTATTATTTGATCGACTAAAGTAGTAAATGTCAATTATTATTGAAGTTTTTTGATTAAAGACTGTTTTAATTTTAATAAAAATAATTGGAATATTTAATGGACGAACAAGGTTTTTCTTTAATTTAAGTTGGAATTTATATTATTTTTATATTTTAGCATTTTTAAATCAGCAAATGCGAGGAAATGTTCAATACAATGTCAATCAAACACATCAAATGCAGGTTAAATTTTAAATAATGATGATATTGTTTTCATTCAAATCGGGCTCTGCTGAATGCTAGACGTTACGCGGCGTGCCCATTTCGTCGCGGTGTTGTTAGTTTAATAGTATCAATCCCGAACGCACTGATTGGTTCTATACATTACGGCAAGCTTACATTAATCTAACTATACTCTTGTGTTTGAAATTCGATAAATTGTGAGAGAACTGTAGTCCTACACTCTTGATCGCAATCGAGGGGGGGGGGTGTGCTAGTATAAAATCAGGAAAAGAACCTAAAGTTGTCCTTCTTGTGTAATTTCGTATTTATACATGTTATATTTGTTCTTACTGACTATATATTTCAGCAGTCACACGAACAGCAATTATATCAACAACAACATCAACAAGGTCGTCAACCAATATATCATCAGCAGAATGTTAATTATCAAAAAGGGTATGATGGTGGCTCTCAATACAATCATGGGAATGAGCAGCAGTCTTTGTACAATCAACAATCTTATCAGATGGGATATAATCAACAGCAAGCTGTTTCCACACAATACTATACGGTTTGGGATTTTTCCTTTTTGCTTATCTCGCGTTTCTACTTGATATGACTCGAAATAAATGCTCCGGCTTTTTTACTCGGTGTCAGTTGCGGGCGTATTGCGTTAAATTTGGCGAAATTAACGCAGAAATTATACACAATCTGACAATAAAAATTGAAAAAGACTTGACTTTTTGACCGGAAAAATTCTCAATTTTTGCCTGTGACGTTGAAAAAGAATTTAAATACCAATGTTCTTCCCAGAAAAATTCTTAACTAGTATGCCTTGATATCCCCGGTATCGATTCAAATCCATTGACCTCCCATATCTCCTCAACTCACCTGGCATCCGTCTGTAATCCCATAGCATCTCTTAAAATCCCCTGTATCCTTCATGATCCCCATATATCCCTGAGGGGGGATCACGAAGGACACAATGGATTTATTCGTGATCCCACCCCAACTCTTATATGTATATGTCACAAAATCGAGTAGGTCTCGCTGCCGTCTAGTTATACTTCAATTTTTAATTGGAAAATGTCTAATACTTACATTTAATTTTATAGATTCCGGATGATGACGATTCAATTATTGTAGCAGAGAATTGTGTTGTAATGACTAGTGATCCTTCTCCTGAACAATTAATGGCGCCTCAATCGTCTATTGGTGCTCATTATCCTCCTGAACAGCAACAAACCTCTCGATACCCATATTTGCCATCTATAAGTGATGGGGTACCTAGTTCTACTTTTTATGGACAAGGTTTAATTTATTGATTATCTCCTTCATTTGCAATTCTTATCGACTCTTTAAATTGTTTTTTCGGCTTTTTCTCGAAAAGTCGCGAGTGCTTTCCTCCAACAAATCTGTTCACGCAGTAATTTATTATTTTAATTATTTTAAGCTCGTCAACAACAGCAACAACATAGAGAACCGCATTATGTTGTTGTAGATCCTCTCACTTATTCTGCAGGTTTTCAACAGATACATTCCCAACAAACGGCACAAAAACAAGCACCACAGCGTCAAATCTTACGTTCATCTCTACCTATTCAACAAGTTCAAAGGAGGGCTGCTCCATTTGAAGAGGAAGAAGAAGAAATGGAAGAAAGTGATGAAGACGATGAATGGCAACAAGAAGAACTTGTACAAACGACCTCACAACAGAGATACAAAATAAATATTAATGAGCCTAGAATGACTAGGGCAGCAAGGCGTAAGCAAAATTTTGAAGGCAAAAGTAAGCCAGAAAAGCAGAAGAAAGTCGATTTACCGAAAAAAATGTGTTCGGATATTTTCTCGGATGAGGTGGAAAAAAGTGAGAATTCAGTACAGAAATATGAGAAGAAAACGATATCGGGAACATGGGCAGCAGTTTCACCAAAGAAAGAAATTTTGGCAGAAAAACCGCTTTTGTAGGGGAATTTAGAAATAATCACTATTTTGACATTTTAATTTTTAGCGATAAAAATATCGCGCATATACAAGCGGTTCAGCGATTAAGCACTGCTGAAGGATGGAGACGAATGAACGAATGGTTGAAATCTTCAATTAAAACAATGGATTTACCTAAATTACGTCAACTTTTGGCACAACTAGTTGATGTTTGTTGAAATTAGGATTATAATTTATTTGGGGGGTTATAAAGGCTTTAAGCCATTTGTGCCCAATTTAAAATTCTCGAATAATCAAATAAATATTTCCTCGAAGAGGTGGGTGCAATGATTGATGAATCAAAAGTTATTTGTAAAAACTTTTCTCGTTCCCATGAAATTTTTTATGTATAAACGAGACTTTCATGAATTATGTAAGTAGTCTTACTTATTCTAATTTACAGGCGGATATTACAGTGGAGTTGCTTAGAGACAATGACACTCCTAAAATTGTTAAAGACCTGCAAAAATGCGCAGATAAAGGTAGGCTAAAGTGATGCTAATTTAATTACAAGATTGTTTGTTGCCTTAAATGTTTATTTATTCATGCTAGAAGCGAATTATTGATTTTAGCGCGTTTTTCCTTTCGTGGCCTTACAATTACTCTCAAAAATTTTTATCGATTTCTTCACTCTTACCCTTCTCTTTACTCTTTCTATCTGTAGTGATTCATAATTTTTTTACATCGATTAAAGCAGTGACTCGAATCTGTTTTTGTATAATAAATGTTTTTTATTGTAAGTATCTAATCTTTAATTAAGATTTGGCACTGCCAAAATTCCAGTAATTTAAAAATTAGGAAGGGTAAGTTATTTTTACTTTTGTGATTTTCGTAATTTTTTTTTATTTTTTATATCCGTTAATGTTTCATGCATTTCTATTTTTCTGTCAGTAATTTTTATATAGTTGCCGTTTTGGGTCTTGTTGTTAGAAACGCCCATTTTGTTGCAACGGCATCAATAGTGCATAAAAATTAGGAAACCCCTCATTACTTTATTTTCGCGCTTTTCTTTGTCTCTTATGCTTATACTTATCTTTTTTTAATTGAACTCGGGTTCAGTGTTTTAATAAATAATATTACATTATATAATGTTTTACGTTAATATTTTTCCTTATCTGTTTACAACTATAGAATTATTTAATTTTTTAATTTTTAGAAATTGCAAATTTTGCAAGTAAAATGGTTACAAAATGGAAGCAAACAATTCGTGATGGTAACAAAGAAAAACAATTGAAACTTCAGCAGCAACAACATCAGGAAACAAAAGTAAAAGCTCAGAAGCCTAGTGGTGTTGGTGTAGCTGCAGTATCAGGAAAAAATGTTAAAAGAGCTTCAACTGAATCGGACGTTGGCGATGGTATTTTATTTAAATGAGCGTTTTTAGTCATAGGAGATAAATCTAGAGAGGGGGATGCTGTTTTTTCTTGGGCGTTCCCAGTTTTTTTTGAATCCTTTCACGTGCATTTATTACAAAATTTACTCAACCTTTTGAAAGTTTAAATTTCATCTGTGTTCAGGCCCTTCAACAAGCCAAACATCTGGCCAGCTTAAACCAAGGACTGGCTCTATTTCTTCAGCAGCTACTTCTCATCAGCAGCAGATTGGTTCTAGATCTAATTCTTTCAATGTACAAAACACTACGGGTTTAAACAAAACTGGTGAAAGTTCTGTGAGTGCACCACCAAAACCTGAACGACCAAAAACAATTGCTAAGGCGAAGGCTAAAATATCACGTCCAAGACTTACCGGTATTTTTTATTTTCAATTAAAGGATATATTTCTTGTCCTGGGGATTTTTAGTCAGTAGAACTTGGAAAGATATTAGGCGATTCGAGTTTATGTAAGATCGGGGAAAACTTGTGGTTTCTTATGACTTATTTCTGAATTTTATCGGTAAATTAGTGGGCCAATGTAAAGAAATTGGTATTTTTTGTCTAGGAAATGTTTAGTCAGTAGTAATTTTAAGTATTTATTAAATACTTAAAATTCACTGAAATTATTTTTAATTATTTGATTAATGTAAGAAGTCACAAAATTTATTTTTGTTTCACAGGTATGTTGCAACTCGGTCATGATGTCGAAAAATACAACATCAAATTATATACTAAATTATTTCGACTTTATATTTTATTTTGTTCTATTTTCGTGGTGGTGATTTTACCCACCTTTGACCTCAAAAATCTTTTTCTCTTATTTAATCTTAATATCTTAAACAGCATATTTTGGTGTATAAATAGGTAAAATTAAAGCATTAAAATTTCCTTGACCATTGCTTATCTTTCATTCATGTTTTTTGTTTAAATTCACATAGGATTTTTATGTTTGATTATTAAGGTTCCTCTACTATTTTATAATATATTTAAACGACCTGTGAATATTATAATAAAGGCTACATTATAATGGAACCACTGCTTGAAATCGTAAGTTTATATCAGGGCTCTCATTCGTGCTTTATTTGAAAGTATTATACTTTGAAACCGACCTCCATACTTAAGAAATTGAATTTATACTTTATTGAAAGTATATACTTTAAAATCAACATTTTGGATTGAAAATGAAATTGGGGAAGGGATTGGGCAAAAAAGTGAATTTTTTTAGCCTTGGGCCTTCGAAATTATCAAAATTTTCGCCTGCGGCGCTGAAAAAGAAAGAAATCTGGCTTCTTGGGCTCCAAATTTCAAAAAATTTTCGCCTGCGGCGCTGAAAATGGGAGAAATCTGACTTCTTGGGCTCCAAATTTCAAAAAATTTTCGCCTGCGGCGCTGAAAATGGGAGAAATCTGACTTCTTGGGCTCCAAATTTCAAAAAATTTTCGCCTGCGGCGCTGAAAATGGGAGAAATCTGACTTCTTGGGCTCCAAATTTCAAAAAATTTTCGCCTGCGGCGCTGAAATGGACGAAAGCTTGAGGTTAAGACTGTCAAGGCTTTATTTCTTGTATCAGCGAATTTTGACATGTCATGCGTTGAAATGCACAAAATGCCCAATGGAAGCAAGAAATTATTAGAAAAGATTCATTTAAGAGAGAAATATAAAAGATTTGAGCACGAACAAATATTTTCCAATTTAATTTTGAGTATACTTTAAATTTGGAAATTTTCTCCCTATATACTTTTTTATCAAGATTTTGATACTTTTGAGTGGCATTTTGTCGATGAGAGCCCTGGTTTATATTATTTGTAAATGTTTAAGATAAACTTATGGCGGCTTATGTTGCTTACATTGTTCTCTAAAGACGGCAAAGATGTTCAATTATTAATTTAATAGTAGATCAAGTCCGTGGATTTGGATTTTTGATGTCATACGTTTTCATTTAAATTTTAGAACCAGAGAAGGTTAAATATCAGCAATTTCCAAATGTTTGATGATAGAGGGTTTCTGCGTTCTCTTTCGCAGTTAGATTTTTGTATCTAGTTTCTGGCGTATTCTATAGCACGTGAATTGTAAATTGTTCTAATTCAATCTAAATGCATTTTTATCCTTTTTATTATGATTTTGTCCCTTTTATGTCTAATCTGTCACCCCCTGGGCTTATTGTTAGTGTCATCACCACGAAAATGAACTAAATATACTAATTTGCTATAAAATTTTGATACACATTTTTAGGCCTGGAAGGAGACGAATCAGCAACTACGGTCAACAAGTCTGTAGAGCGTTCGATCGGTACAAATAAGACTAAAACTTCGACAACAGTAGTTTCCTCAAAAACAGCTACTTCAACAACTGCTGCTTCTGCCCATGAGTCTCCTTTGGCGCGAATTATGGCTGCAACTGCAAAATTTCATGTTTGATTTTTACATTATTTTTACATTATTTATTTTTTTTTCTATAAATTTGTTATTCAGGCTGAGCAACAACCTAAAAGAAAGTCCGTGGAGGTTGTTTTCAGTGATAATTTTATGGACAGCCTATCAGCTGCTGATGTTGCAAAGCCTAAAAAAGCCAAAATTGTGCGCAAAAAATTGAGTGAACAAAAAGACGATTCGGCAAAGGTTTTTAATTCTTTCAAAGGATATTTTATTTTTTTAAATTTAGTCCGATGTTCGCGATTCTTTTGCTCCAGTTGATGAGTATGAAAACAATCCAGAGGGTTCTCTTACAAAGAAACGTGTGCGATTTTTTGATGAAATTGGTCGAGATCTGGTTGATGTTAGGTTCTTTGAGGTTGAAGAGGGTGAAAGAAGTGGGTTTTTGTTTACCTTTATTAAATTACTCTAATAAGATTTTGGAATCATAGTGCCTTAAATTTATTAATTTGATCTAAGTCCCATTTATTTTTAGTAAATGTTTCGAAAATGGGTGGAATGGACAAAGAAGCAATTAAGCACCTTGACTCTCAGCGTGAGAAACAATTTTTGTTGGATGCCCGACGACATGGTTTTGGCTCGACAACACCGACCTCAAGTGGAGGATATAGTTCTGTGCTTATGGATCCGTCTTTGATGCCTCCAGGCCATGGCCGAATGTTTGGTGATCAGACTCGTCCTGGAGTCACATCTAATTCATTTAAAGTACCAGAGACGCGATATCCGGTTAATTTTTAATTTTCTGATCTTTATTTTCTGATTTATTTTAAGTGGCGTTTGCTGCCTGTAGAATGTCAAACAATAATTAATATTGAGCCGGGCTGTAGAAGCGAAGCTAAAGGGATTGAGTTTGAACGTCAACGTACAATACTTCCTGCTCTTGTTTTGCCGACGTATGATTTTTAGATTGTTTTTTAATAAAATTCTGAATTATGCAATTTCTGATCTTTTGGAATTTTTTGTTAAAAAAACTTTTTTCTTTCAGTTTCAACTCTAATTTTTTCAATTCATATTTAAATTTACTCATTTTAGTGCGTTGCCAGTGTCGGATATTGATGCCAATGAATTGAAACAACAGAGAGAAGAGGGAATGATGCAAATGCCGAAGATTATCCCATTAGAGTTGGTTACTGAAGGCCCTCAAAAATTAACTATTGAAGAGAATAACGAAGAAGAAGAAAGTGAAATTAAACTTGAAACATTAAAAATAGATTTATCGCCTAAAAAGAAATTGGGAATGGAGGAACGTGAAGAAATGTTGGTTGATGAGACTGAATCAAAATTAGAAGACTATGAAGTTTACGAAAATGAAGTAAGTTTGGAGTAAATTTTTTGGCTGATAATTATAGTAAATGTGCATAAATAATATTTAGGCACAGGAAATGTAAACTTTGTTAGAAAGATTTGGGTAATACGCTTAATTTTCTCTTTAGTGTTTGCAAGTAATTTATCATTTTACTAAAGCGATAGAAAGTCGAAACGATTCGGGCCTCTTATTAATTTATAAAGTTTCAATCCTTTAAGTTACTTTTATTTTCCCTTTCTATAAATTCCATTAATTTATACTTTAAAAGTTTATAAATAAATTATATTACCATTAGGCTCTCCGAAGTCCTTCACCCGAACGTCCGCCAGTATGTCAAATTCCCAGCAGTGATGAAGATTCAAGGGATGATATTAAAGAAATTAAGGATTCAATAAAAGAAAATGATCAGTTAGATTCCCAAGATAATGATGGAGGAATTGCCAGTCCTGAACCTGAACAGCTTAATGAGTCGTTTACAGATTCGGTACGAGATTATGTAATGAAAAGAATAGAAAAATATAGAAAAAATAATTTTATTTGTATTTGTCTTTCTTTTGTTTTTGATTATTTTTTATTGTTGTATAAAGCGCTTTGATTCAATTTGACCAATCCTAATCCGGCAATATTGTGGGAACGACGAACTTGATGAGATAGGGTTTATTTTTATTCACTTTTTTGGCTTTAGAGGTTAGACCCAATAGAGCTAATTTGGTGTGTTGTGGTTACATGTTTCTTGTAGGGTCTTGTGCTTTTTGCACTAAACTGTGTTTGTCGTTATATCACTAGCCGATTATTTTTGGTCATCTTGAATAAGAGTGCTTTTACAATTAAATTTAGATTATCTTTGTCTTTTTAATAATATTTTTTATCTTTTAGGGTAGTAGCAGCATAAAAGAAATTCCCACTGAACAACTTCCTAGTTCGCGTGATTTGGATGATGAGGATGACAAGGAAGATTTGGACATTCGAGATCAGCAACAAAAGTTGCAAAAACATCCGCAGAGTGGGGATATTTAATTTTTGCTTTTGTCAAAATAATTTTAAATTATAGGTGCAACCATTCCATCGTCCACTTCTACTTCCTTATCGTCTACTCCAACTCTTTCATCTTCAAACCTTCAAGCCTTCAAAAAAATTCCAAATTTGAATTCATTACTTCAGAAGATCAGCACATATGTTGGAGGGGAATTTACGACGACAGGAACAAGTTCTACAACCCTGACTTCATCTATAACTAGTTCGGCAATTGTGCCTAAAGGGCCTAATGATCCTCTCGGAGGGTCTATTGCCGTCAATGTCTTAACACCTGACAAAGTTCAAAGAGATGCATCGGAGAAACAGTAGAATTATTAAAAAATTCTATAAATCGTTTTTTTCTAATAGATTGCAACAACCGAAAACATCTTCGATTCCTCCACCTCCAGCACCTCTTTATCCTCCTCTTGGTCTTCCAATCCATCCACTACCTGCAAGTACTTTTCAATCTACTTTTCTTCCTGTTAGAATGACGATGCCGAATACTGCAATTCCACCTTTTCAACAAATAAATAACGCAACGATTTTTCCTCCATCAGATTTTTCGGTTCCTCCACCTCCGATACCTGGTGTTCGATATGGTTTTACTTCGGGTCAAAGAATGCCTGGAGATGGTATACAACTACAAAATTCAACACAGACAAATGTTTCGACTACAATAGAGAAGCAGGATGGTAATACTAAAAAATTATTTAAATTTACAGAGCATTAAATAAAAAAAAATACTTTAAAATTTAATTGAAAATTAAAATGATTAAATCGAATGAATATACTTAATTTAAAAAAATATTGTGCTTATTGAACATCCTCAAAGAAAAATCTTTTAATAAAAAACTATAGAAAAATCTCCTGAAACCGCCGAGGGACAGCGACGACAGATTTCTCCCGGTCCGCCTGGTTTAGATGAAGGAGGTTCTCCTCCGCCATCGCTTGAACAGCAACAACAAAAATCCCCATCGTCTGTACAAATTTCTCAATCTATTCAACAACCATTCTCTTCTGTTTCCCCGAGTATCATGATAAATCAACAACAACCAAAGCTTCCACCTCGCCAAATTAGCCTTGAAGAAGCCAAAGAAAGTCAGAAATTTTGGACTTTTTCTTTAGAGATTATTTTTTCAAAAATATATTTTCCAGTTGCTGGAAGTTGTCAATTCTATAAACGGACGGGAACTTGTAATTTCGGGGAGAGATGTAAATTTGCACATGATGATGAACATTTAACATTTGGAGTTCAAATGGCAATGCGTGGAGTGAGTATGCCTAACAGAGGTGTGTGGGATGAAATATTAATAGGATTAATATATTACTAACACTTCGTTATATAAACCAAAATAAATTACTATATAAAATAAAATTATAAAAATTTTACTTAAAATTCTAAAACAATAATACCTGAATCTGAATATAATCTGGTAGATGCATAGTTGGCGATCTACCTGTCCGCAAAGGGAATGCGAATTTTCTTCCCTTGCATTTTTGTTTTAGGAGTTTTAGGAGTGGTTTTCCAGTTTAAATTTTTGTTTTAAACTGGAAAATACCTATATCAACTGGGAAATACCTATATTTATATTCTTATTTTTAATAAATTTAAAAAATTGAACGAAGCTAAAAATGTCAAATTACCTCTATTTATAACTTTTTAGTATTTATTACCCTAAATTTTCATGAATTTTATCCCTTAAGTTTATACAATATAATAAACATTTTATTAATATTTAGGAGGTTTTCGAGGTAACCGAGGAGGAAGTAATTCTGTTGGCCGTGCTGGAGGAGCTCGTGATAGTCCTAAGGTGGATGCTGAAGGAGGGAGTGGAAGATTTGAAAAGTAAAATTTTTTATTTGAACATTTTTATTTATTATTTTAGGAGAACATCATCAAGGCGTACAGCAGGTTCTGATTCAACGAGTAGACGTCTAGATTATGACATTTCTCCAGTCCGTGGTGGCGGCAGTGAGGATACTTCTGTCAAGGGAAATCGTGATCGTCGTTATCGACGTACTTCACCTCAACGACGCCGGGGACATTCACGATCAAGGTGAATGAGAATTTGTTTTGCTTTTATAAATAGCATTTATTTGTAAGGTCCCGCGATAGGTATTCTCGCCGCCGACGTAGCAGCTCGCGTTCTCGAAATGGGCGACGACGTGCTAAGTCTTCGTCAAGTTCTAGCAGTTCTCGGTAATTTATATTTGAATATTTTTTAAATTTTAAAAAGGCTAAAAAATAATTTGCTATAATTGTTAATTATGTGTAAAATGGAGAATTTTTGTGCCCATTTTGTTTTTGCTGCCCACCCTCCTTTCAAATTTGTGGAATTTTTTTCCTACCTATTAATCTGAATTAACCATAATAATAATGAATTTAAATTTTATTAATTTTTAGTTCGGCCAGCAGTGTCTCTCGTTCTTCTACACCACAAAAAGATCGTGATCGTAAACGAAGTCGTTCTCGAACTCCGACTCGTAGACGACGAGACTACTCCCGTCAACGTTACCGAAGAGAATATTATCGTCGCAGATCACCACCAAAACGCCGTTCTAGTTCATCCTCTTCAAATCGACGGCGAAGGCGTTCAACTTCTTCCTCTTCATCAACATCACAAGAAAAAAAGAGGAATAGCAAGATTAAGAATTCGTGTGACACAGACAGTGGAAGTCCAGTTTTAGTATTGTCTGATGAAACTGTTCGAGGTGAAAAGAATAATGTAACGGCCCCTGACAGTTTACCAATGGAGGAAAATAAAGATTAAAAAATAAAAAGGAAAAAAATCTTGTGGTAATAATTAAGTTTGTTCCTATATTTTCTTCACTTTCATTTATTTTTTTTTTTTGAGTTTTGTCGTTGCTTTCTGTGACATTTAGCTTAGTTTGGGACCAAATTGGACCATTAAAATTAGCGAAAATATATTACAAAAGTAGGTCCCGAACCCAAAAATGCCACAGAATTAAGCACAAACCCCCAAGAATAAATGAAAGTAAAAATGTTGGGAACGAACGTAGCTATTACCAATTTTGTTTGTATTTGACTTTGATGTTTAAAAATATATTATTTAAATTTTAGTGTTTTAAATCACCTTTTGATGTGTTTCAAAATTAAATATAAGTTATTTAGACTTCTTTAAGAAAAAGTTTATTCTTTAAATTTATTGTGAAACACTTAACAGTGATAGTATTTCCATTTTATTGACGCCGACAATTTATTTATAAAGTTTTTCTGTAGCACAAAAGTGACCCCCTAATTACTATATTATTCTTTTGTTTTTATTCCTTTGGTGTCAAATTTAAATGTATTTATCTACACATTTTTAAATAAAAATAATATAAAATTTCAATTAAAATTTTTGTATTAAAATTTATTTTAATACAAAAATTAAAAAATTTTTGTATTAAAATTTTAATTTTTTGTTAAAATATTACTCCCTTTTTTCATTTCAAGTGAAAAGAAAAAATAACGGATTCTCTTTGATGACAGGAACCGAATATTTATCAAATAAAGAGATGTTTAACAATTATTTATTTTTGAAAATAAATATTGGAAGAATTTAAAGAAATTAAATTTTTGGAATAAAAAGTAATAAATAAATAAATAATAACAAATACTCCAACACCTCATATTAACTCCCACATTCAAAATTTAAACAATTTTGTTTTCCTCCAATAATTATATTTTTTTTAAAATTGGAAGGGGAAATTTGTGAAGGGGTGTTTATTTAAAAAATTTGTTTTATCTTTTACAAGACTTGAAGAATTTTGAGTAACTTTGATGAAATTATTTTATAGACATTCATATGATAAATCAGAAGACAATATTGGCAGACAAAAGGTCTCATGCCCTCATTTAATTAATTTAAAAATTAGCTTCGAGACAGATTGCGTCAATGCACTCGTAAATTTCCTTTCAAAAATTTATTTCCTTAAAAATTGTCTATTCTATTTAAATTTAAACAAAGAAATTTATTAAAGAATTTAAATTAAATGTCTGCCTCCCCAGACAGATTGCGTCAAAAAAATTTATTTTAAATTTATACAAGGCTATTTAAAAACCTCAAAAATATGTAAATTAAATAATTAAAAAATATTTAAAAATTAATTAAACTTATTTAAATTAAAAAAAGTTTCTCTCCAATTAAAAAGAAAAATATGAATTATTATTTTTTCTCCAAAATAATTTTCTTTTTAATTTTGCTAATTATTACAAAGGCAATAATGGTAAATGGCGGTCTTGTTAGAACAGTATCAGAGACTATTAAAAACTCTGAAGTATTCAAAATTGTTCAAAAACACCGCACAAGTAATTTAAAAATAATAATTTAACAGAGGAGATAGTGCCGGGACTTGTATAAAATTAGGAAAAATAAAAATTATTTAATTAATTAATAAAGAGATAAGTCCACTTTAACAATAACTTTATAAACAATCTAAATAAATATTTATAGTAACACAAACAAAAATAATAAAATCAAAAAGTTTAAAGACAATCTACCTATTTAATAAGAAATCCCCTCTGTTTCTATCTTTCAAAAATAAAAAAAATAATTTTTTAAAGGTTCTGTTCAAGACAAAAATTCACTAGAAACATTAAAACAATTTGAAAATAAGGATCTGGAGTTGGTTGAATATGAATATTTTTTGGAGAAATTGTCAGAAGATATTGAAAAAAATAAAAGTAAAAATTTAAAAAATGCTAAAGAGGAATTAAATAAATATAAAAATTTAATTAGAAATGTTAAAAATATGCGGGATGAAGTTAACAATAAATTGGAAAATGTTAAAATTGAAGCAGCGAGACTGTTAAATAAAAAAGGATTGAAAGTTTCAAATAAAGAAAAATTTGTTTTGTTAGAGATGATATTTAAATATGTTACTACAAGAAATGAAAATATTAAAAAGGTTTTAAATTAAAAAATATTTAATTAAAATTTTTATTTAATATTGAGATGGGCTTTTAGGTAAACACGCCCTATGTGTAGGTAAAAAACCTTTGAGTTCATATTTAGGTTAAAAAATGTGTTGATCTTTTGGATTAAAAAATCTTTTTATTAAAAAATTTAGCTAACAAAATTTTTCAAGTAAAAATATTAGACTTAATTTCCCTTCAAACCTTAGGTGTTTGTTAATAGAGAAAAGTCTGAACAAAAAATAATTGAATGAGATTAACTCTAAGGGGGAAGGAGGGATTTTCAAAGCAATTCCATTACCACTTACATAATTAACTAAACATTTTTATATTTATTTTAGGTAAAAAGTTTGTATAAAAATTTCCAACAAAAAGTTGAATCATTAACAGAAATATTAAAAAACTCAGAAAATTATTCGATAAGTGAAGAAAATCAAAACAAATTGGTGGATATTAAAAATTATGGAACTAAATATGCCCATCATCTTGTAAACGTTAAAAAAGTTGCTGGAGAAATACAAAAAGATAAACATATTGATTTAATCCCTTTAATGTCAACTCCTTTACATTCAAGTAAATCGACGGGAAATCTTCAAAATATTATAAATGAGGCAAAAATAAACAATATAAACATAAAAAAATCAGGAAGCGTAAGAATTATGGAGAAAGTTTTTAATCCAGAAGGTGTTAAAATTAAAAAAGAAGCAAAAAATTTATTGCCAAAATTTGAAGGAAGAACTACAAAATGGGGTGAAATAAATGAAAAAAGAAAAGAAATAAAAAGTTTTGTTAGAGAAAGTTTAGAAGTTGACGAACAAATTTTTAAGGAATATGAGATGTTTAAAGAAAATGAAAAATTGTTTGTTTTTGATCAAGAACGTTTAAATAAAATAAATTTGGATGCTAATTATGAAGGGAAAAGTTTTGAAGAATTGGAAAAAATACTTGGAAATAAATGTAAGTTTATGGAAATTTAAATAAAATATGTGATTGAGGGAAAGAGGGAGGAGGGGGAAGTTGTTAGAAGTAGAAGAATTACAGGAACGGGTCTGGAATAAATAAAAGTATTGGGAATTAGAAATCAGATTTCAGACTCGCGTTTCTGATAGGTTGGAATAATAATATTTACCTATGTACATATATTGGAGAAGAGCATGTAGACATTTAGGGGGGATTTTATAGAGTAAATTTAGAAAGAACAAATTAATAGTAAAATTTAAAATTTAAAAAAATTTAAAAATAAATGTATGGATAACAAAAAGCTAGGAACCAACAGGAAAATACATATAACCTCATATTTTTACTAAAAATTTAATTATTATAAATTTATTTAACTTTTAGCGGATGAAATGAAAGATTTTAATGGACTTTATTTTCAAATAAAAAATAAAGCAATAATACTTTACTTTATTTATGCCGACCAAAATAAATTAAATCCAAGTGTTATATTAAACAAGGAAGAATTAAAAGAATGTGAACAATTGTTAGAGGAAAGTGAAGAAAGACCCCTTAAGTTTGAAAATTTAAAGGGGGAGGAATTTACTAAGAGAACTATTTTAAAAACAGTATGTTTATTTAATAAAGTTTGGAGTAGGGTTGTTTCTTAGTCTATTCCGAACAGATGCTCTTAAATTCTGGGTTTAACTCATTTAATATAAAAATGTTAAATAAAAAAACTCTTTATAATTTTTAATTTTAGGTTTATTGGATTTATAAAGATAAAAATGGATTTTTTAACAGTGTAACAAAAAAATATATTGAATATAAACATGGAAATGTAAATAAAAAAGAAATTTGTGTTAACTAAAAAGCCTGATAAAATTGTTATTTCTTATTATTTTTAAGGAATTCTAAATCGTTCAGGACTGAAGCAACTAAATTATTTTGCGAATTAAAGTTGTACCCCCTCCCCTCCCGTCATTGAAACCTTTTTTTGTATTTAATTTTGTATTTTTGTATTTATTTTTAAAAAATTCTTTTGTAAATATTTATTTATTTAACGTTCTTTTTGTAAAATATTTTGTATAAAATTTCAATTAAAAAAGTCTACATATTTTTAAATTAATCAAAAATTTGATAGAATGGACTGAATTATTTCTTTTTTAATTTTTAATCATTTACTGTTACAGTATTTACAAAAATAATTACTCTGGGTAATTATTGTTTCAACATCTGCTGGAGAAGGTAATTATTATGGAGGGAGTAAATATGAGGGAGGGTAATTATTTAGGTGAATAGTGTTTTTTACTTTTAATTAATTAATTATTAAAAATTACTAATTTCTTTTTCAATTTTTGTCATTTTAATCGATTTCTCCATTTTTGTTCAATTAATGCCCAGGCACCCTAACATTAAAGGGCGATTTAAAAATAATATTTCTATTTACAAAAGGTATAGAAAGACAAACAAAAAATATTTTTATCGGTCGGCCATATATGCAAACATTGGCCAGTCGAGCATTCTCTCTCTTTTCTACCTACCTTTGCTTCTTCAACCCTTTCTTTTTCACTCTCCTCTTGCTATGCGTCATTACTTCATTTATTCTTTTTAACTGATCTAAAAGTCCATTTATTTGATATATTTTTTAATAATTAATTTGATTTTATTTAAATAAAAAATTCAATAATTAGAATTAACTCAGGACAACATTTCAGGGCAGCTTTTACTAGCTTCTGTCATGTTTCTTCTAGTATTAATCCAAATATATCTACTATTTTCCAACATTTAATCTTCTCTTAATTCTCTTTTAATTGGCTCAAAACTTCAAATTATAACACATAAATTACTTAATTATTATGCTTTGTTGTCCTTCATTAAAATCAGAATTTTACTTTCTTTTACTCACAACTTTTTCAATAATAATCCAAATAAACAGCCAACAACCCGAATTAATCGAGGGATTAGAACAACCCCGTCAACCAATTAAAAACACTCTGGGTGGTCTTTATTCAGGCAATATAACTTTATTTTTTAGAAATTCTCCTTATCGGTAGGTTTTTAATTAAATAAAGACTTGAGAGATTTTTTGAAGTGTTGAGCATGAACTTATTGTAAGCGCTGGCTGTACAATGAATATAGAAACTGGTGTACAAATGTATTTTGATACTGGTGTTGGAATGAAAGTTTATGGGACGCTTAAAGCTATCGGAAATGAATTTGCTCATATTCAAGTGAATTAAAAATGATTATTTTAATAAAAATCGGAAATTACGATTAATTAGGATAATTAGAAAACGGCGAAACTTCCAGACCGAAGCCGTTGAAACGTACTAAGCCTTCTAAATTATAACAAGGTTTTGACGTCATACTATATTCCACAAAATAGTGCGATATCCTTAAGTTCATTACTGGACATGAGATATACATACTTTAATTTTGCCATTACGCTTATAAAAATAATTTAACGAGAAGGATTTCTTATTTTTCCTTTTTCTCTATTTAGCTCCTGTTTATAAAGTTTAATTTAACATTAAATATTTCAATAATTAACATGTAGATGCTTCCTTACCAAGAACAGCATTTATATCAATTTGAAATGCCCGACTTTCGCCTAATTGATGGCCCAACTGTTCGTCAAGGGCGTCTTCAAGTAAAGTTTCGAGATCGTTGGCGTTCTGTCTGTACTCAATTAACTAATTGGACAAGTATTGATACAAGCACTGCTTGCCGTTCCTTGGGGTATGAGGATGGTGGATTTTGGAGATTCTTTGCTAGAAATAATGATACTTACCCTTTTGTTATGCCTTCACCAAAATGCTTGTCTGAAGCTAAAAATCTTTGGGACTGTGAAGTAAATAAACAAAAATTATTTACCATAAGAATTTATTTAACAATCTTAAGGGATTTTCTGATCATAATTTAATCCCTCTTTCCGAAAATCTTTGTCAGGGAGAGGATGATATTGGCATTTATTGTTGGGGACGGCCGTCCTTTCGTGGCTGGTCAAAGCATTGGAAAGGTGAGAAATCCTTTGTTTAAAATAATTTACCTAGAATTCTATCTAAAAGCCCTAAATTTATATTTTTAATTCAAAAAAGGTCTTCACATATTTCATTCACCTTATGGCTACGTTCCTGCTGACCCTGACGATGTTGCCCTACAAAAAGAATCGCATTCACGACTCGAATTTTTGGATATTTTATTTGCCGGATATGACCGTCTTAGTGGCAATACAACGGCTGCTCTATATATTGAGGGCGTTCCTCCTTTAATGAATGGACTTAGAGTTGAGAGAAGTGCTAGGGATGGAATTCAATTTTTTGAGCCTGAAGGGCCTATTATTTTGGCAAATTCAACAGTTACATTAAATAGAGGACATGGAATTGCTATAATTGATACATTGGATGGGAGAGTTTTTATTAATCAAACAAGAATAGATGGAAATCATGGAGATGGTATTTGGTATAGACAGAGACATGTTGCTCTTTCTACTTCTGAACATTTTCTGGGGATTGGAATTGGTAGTAGAGCGAAAGATTTGGAGAGAGGAGGTTCTTCTTCAAATACTCCACACTTAAGTGAGCATTTTCTTTATACTTTTGGAATAATAAACTTGTCCGTTTCAAACTGAACAGTAAATAACAAGAATTTCGGATCGCGGTTGTTTATCAACAAGCATAAATTGAGATTAATTTTAATTTATGATCAACTCACGTTATAATCTCAATTTTATGCCCTCAAAGCATTATTTAATAATATAATATCTTAAATTTCAAGATCAAGGGAGAAAGTATTTTTCATTTCGTGAAAAGCCCCGATTGGAAATGTGTTCAGGGATTCACCAATTGCCCAAAGATTTATTCTTTCCACACCTTATACTTGCTCATTTACAAAATGGGACTTCAGTGCCTGATAGAAGTTTACAGCCAAAAATATGTTGGTTGAATGTAGCTTTACCTGATAGATTACCTTATGCTTATACAATTCAAGTAAAAAGAAAATATTATTTTGAATAGATTTAAATTTTATTAGTTTTTGGATGTAATAAATCGCCATTCACATAATTCTGATGCTCAAACAATTTTTGTTGTGTGTGATGGAAATTCAACATTTCCAATGCTTTGTCAGTTTGAACGTTACCGCCTTCCTTTGTTAAATGGAATTTTGCCCCAAAGTATTTCATTAAATAGTAATGGAAATCCAATGCTAATTGGTATTGAATATATACCTCAACAACAAGAATATGTTAATAAAGAGTAAGGATTTTGGAGAGATTTTAATTTAACTTTTACTTTCATTGATAAGAGGCATTGGGGGCATATCAAGCTTTATAGGGTTTCTTCGTATAGTTTAGTGGATATTTTCATATGAAGATTATATGAAAACCACGAAAATTTTTTTAATCTCAAAAGGATTTTCCTTAAATTTTTTTAATCTTCAGTGGAATTTCTATAACATCGCCAAATGTTGTTGCTGCCGATGTTGAAGTTTTATTTCGGGTACATGCTACAGTTAATTTGAAGGCATTTTACGGGTTAAATATTACAAACAGTTTTGTGAGAAATAATACAGGAAATGGAGTAATTAGAAATTAATTTTGCTTACCATTTTATTTAATTTCTCAGATTCAAGCTTTAGCTATTCATGATAGACTAGCTTTACATAACGTTAGTGTTGATGGAAATCAAGGAATTGCGGGTTTATTAATTAGGGACGGAGCTGCTGATATTTGGATTAATGATACTTCTTTAAGCTGGAATTGGGGTGATGGAGCTAATATTTCTTTTGCTGGAGGAGCAATAAATGTCAATGCCTCTAGAATTATTGGGAATAAATGGAGAGGTAAGAAAATACTTTTATAAAATTTCTCAGAAGAGGTTCTAATTTGGCAAAATCTTTGATTTGTCTTATCTATAATTATTTAAATGACTAATAAAAATAAAGATCACTTTATTAAACGAGACAAAATATAAGAAAACCAACGGTTTGTGGAAGTACATATGTACTATATCCCCTAATTTAAATGGTTATTACTAGGGTTGTTGGCGACCGGTTTTAAAACCGGAATTTTTGAAATTTTTTGCCAAAAATTAACCGTTTTTAGAAAATTTTAAAATCCGAAAACCGGAAATTTGTGAAAATGAGTGATTTTATTAAAAATTCTCCCAAAATAAAACCGGTATTTGTCTAAAACTCAAAACCGAAAACCGGGTTTCTAAATTTTGGATTAACCGAAAACCGGGGGTACCGGTTAATAACCGGTCGCCAACAACCCTAGTTATTACGTATTTATTTAACTCTCGTGTCCAGTCAAATTTTCATGTCAAATGTTATTACAAATAGAGACTGAAAGTCCCGCTTGGGGAGGGCTTTTATTTCTAAACAATTTTAAAAATAAAATTTATTCTTTAAGGTTTTGCCTTCCACCACAATAGTTCTAGCCCATTTTGGCCCTTACATCAAGAAATTGTTTTTAAAGGACGTCCAATTAATAATATTTTTTATCCAAAAATGACAATTTCTGAAAATGCTTGGGGAGGGCTTCTTGTTGGCAATTTTTGTGGGCCTTCATTAAAATACAAAAATTGGGATATTTCGAGAATTGAACCAAATATTCTCATAAGTTGGACAGAATTTAATGAAAATAATTATCATCCACATATTGAAATATTTTCTTGTCAAAAAGAAGAAAATAAATTAATGCGTGTTGATATTAGTGGGGTAATCTTTTAATTAAAATAAATAAAAATAATTTTGTTAGAATTCGATTTATGGAGGGACAGGAATGGGATTTAGAATGGAACCTTGTGTGAATACTCAACTTGTATTAAATAGTAATCGTTTTTATGGAATATTAAATACAGCATTGCTTATTAGAAATGCAAAACACCCTCAATTACAAAGGCTGCCTGCAAAGGTACATAGGAAATTAATTTTTATTGAAAGGCTACACAAGTTTGGGTGTTTTCTTTTATTCACTTTAATTACCAGCACCTAAGTTTAAGCGGTTTAAAATGAACTGTTTTCAAGCTTAATCTTTTGGAATTAAAAATAGTCATAAATTTGTGTCAGAAAAACTTTGTAAAGTAGTTGAGTAATATGGCCTTATGGGGCTCTATTTAGGAAATGGTGTACATAGGGTCTCATACAAATATCCATATTATATTTCACCGAGTATTTTTTAAAATTTTATTTATTTAGGTAATAATCTCAAAAAATGACATAAAAAGAAATATTGGGCAATATATTGTTTCTATTGGATTAAATGAAGATGCTGAAGATCAGACACTTTTATTTAATCAACAAAATGAAGTAAATTGGATATTATAAATAGTTTTAAATAATTATTTATTCGATTTTAAAGGTTCGTGAGAATACAGTTATTAACCCTTTTCCGTTTTTAAAACCTCGTTCAACACCATATGCTGCTTTAGTTGTTTCTTCGAGTAATGTGGTTATTAGGCATAATTGTTTTGGAAATCCTAATGCAGATTTTGAAGTAAAAAATAATATTTAATTGGGAAATAAAAATATTCACAATACCATCTACATATACATATCAATAATTAAATTTCCACCTCCGCCGGGAGGGTAAAACAATAATTACCCAGGATTAAAATATGGGGCATGCATTTTCTTAAGGGTTATTTAAAATTTAAAATCATTTCATTTTAATGTTTTGACGATCGTAACTCTTAGTTTTTAATTCGCAAAATTTTTATTCGAACCTAAAGTTAAAGTTTTGCATTTCCATATTATATGACCAAATATTTTAACTAAAAATTAAAATTACTAATTATTTTACTAATTATGTTACTACTAATTAAGTTACTACTAATTAAATTACTAATTATGTTACTACTAATTATTTTATTTTAATGTAATAAAAATATTTATTTTTTATATTGGAACGGAGTTGTCAGAACATGCAAAACGAATTGATGCACGAGAGAACAATTGGGGATATCCATCGGCTTTGAAATTTATGGACAGAATATATGACCAATTTAACCGCTACTCTTTGGCTTCGATTGATGTCTGATTAAAAAATAAATCTTTTTTCAAAAATTTTCTCTTTTAAAGATTAATCCTTATGCAGCAGTTTGCAATCAACGTTCTCCTTCCCTTACTCTTTTACAACAATATTTTCGACCATTTAGACAACCTGGCCAACCTTTCCATATTGGAGGAACAATATTTGAAAACAATGATTTACCAGTTGGAAAGTATATTGTAACCGATGATTTGCATATTACACCTGGTGCTAAGCTTACATTGGCACCAGGCACGACATTTGAATTCATGGGAGGTATTGGAATGCTTGTGCAGGTGAAAATTATGTTTAGTATATCCCAGTTCAAGAAAATATTTTTAGCAAGAAAATACCCTAACTACCTAATATCAAAATAATTTTAGGGCGAACTTCTTCGCACAGAAACAAGCAGTAGCCCTTTACAGCCCATTCTCTTCACAAGCAAACCTTTGGGACAACCACCTCGTTCTGGAAGTATTCGTCTAGTTGACGAATTCGGATCAGATAGAGTTTTAGCTGGCCGTTTGGAAGTTCGTTTAGGGACTACAGATATTGATAATGAACAATGGGGCACCGTTTGTAACAGATCATGGACTGTTCAACATGCCCAATTAGCTTGTAATCAATTGGGGTTAATACTTGACCCTGAACATTTTGAAAATTGGAGAACATTTCCTTTAGCAGAACCAGATGAAAGACCAATAATTATGGATAATATACGTTGTGAGGAAAGGGAATTTGATTTAACAAAATGCAGACATGATGGGAATTTGCATAATGTTAAAGCTTCTTGTAGATCAACAGAAGTTGTTGGTATGTTGTTTATACAATATATTATTTTAGACGAGATTTAATTAAGAGAACCACTTAAGCTTCTAAAGCAGATGTAGGTATGTACGAAGAAATAAATCGTATCTCTTATCAAAAAATATCATATACCTATATCATTTTTGCTATAGCTATTGTAAAACCTTAGATTTAATATAATTTTTATTTTTACCTTTAAAAGGTTTACGTTGTGCTCCTCCCTATTGGGCTGGTGTTCGTTATTCTCTACTTGCTAATCCTATGAGCTACACAGGTTTATCCACTATGAGTAACTGGATTATTCAAAGAGCTGGGCTTTTTGACTTTCGATTACCTTTATTAAGTCCTGCATTACAGGTCTTTTAGACGGAAATTTTTTTTGAGAAAATTTTTTTAATTCTTAGATTGATTGGAATTATCATACATTTCATAGTTTAACAATTCGTGACAATTATTTTGATGGAATAGATATCGTATATAATGACTTAACTAGGAAACCAGCACTTAGAAATTGTAATATTGTTAGAAATCGGAGAAATGGGATGGTTGTTC